TGAATTGAAGAGTAAGACCAAGTCACCAGAATTGAACTCTCGCTTCAAGATCTTCTTGTCATGGACAAACTTCATCCTCTCTTTGTACATGGCCGCACTTTCATAGGCATGGAGACGGAATTCTTCCATCTCATTGAGTTTTGTCATCCTCATGTTAGCAGCCTCAGCCCAGTCAATATTAAGCTTCTTTAAAGCCCACATGTCTTTGTGTTCAAGTTCCACTGGCAGGTGACAAGCGTTGCCAAAAACCAACATGTACGGCAAAGTTCTAATGTGGGTCTTGAATGTTGTGCGATAGGCCAACAACGCATCATCTAGCTTTCTTGACCAGTCGGTCCTGTTTGCATTGACAGTTTATGCTAGGATGTTTTTGATTTCTCTGTTTGAAACTTCAACCTGACCACTCGACTAAAGATAATAGGGTGTGGCCACCTTGTGCTTAACACCATATTTTTCAAGCAGCCGGCGAAAGCCTTGTTATATAAATGAGACCCACCATCACTCAGGATGGCCCTTGGAATACCAAACCGTGTGAATATGTTCTTCTTCAAAAATGCGGTCACACTCCTTGCTTCATTATTCGATAAGGCGATTGCCTCAGCCCATTTAGAGACATAGTCCACAGCTACCAGGATGTAGGTCAAGCCATACGAGCTCACGAAGGGGCCCATAAAGTCTATTTCTCACACACATCAAAGATCTCAACCTCTAGTACAATGTTCATTGGCATCACATGTCTTTTAGATATTGACCCTTGTCTTTGACATTGGTCACATGCCCTGACTATTTGGTTTGCATCTTGATAGATTGTTGGCCAATAATAGTCATATTCAAGCACTTTTTTGCAGTCTGATTTCCTCCATGATGACCCCCAACCAGCGAGTCATGGCATGCCTTGAGAATTGGCATTACCTAATCTTTTAGAACACACCGTTGGATGATGTTGTCGGCAAAATTACGGAACAAGAAGGGTTCCTCCGAATAGTAATGCCTACACTCCCGCAATAACTTTTTCTTTTGATAAGCTTCCAAACCTTTGGGAACAAGATCACTAACCAAGAAGTTAGCGATGTCGGCATACCAAGGAGCAAATGTGTTAGACAATGCGAATACGTGTTCATCTGGGAAAAGATCATTGATTTCAAGACCTTCCTTTGGTCTCCCTGCCACTTCAACACTAGATAGGTGATCCGCCACTTGATTTTTCGTCCCTTTTCGATCTTTGACTTTGAAGTCAAACTCTTGCAACAACAGGACCCACCAAATCAACCTAGGTTTTGCATCCTTCTTTTCCATAAGATAGCGAAAAGCAGCACGGTCGGTGTACACTATCACCTTGGATCTCAACAAATAAGCCCGGAATTTCTCAAAAGCATAGACAATGGGAAGAAGTTCTTGCTCAGTCATAGTATAATTCATTTGAGCGCCATTGAGTGTCTTGCTTGCATAATAGACAGGGTGAATAATCTTATTATGATGTTGACCAAGCACCGCCCCAATAGCTACACCACTAGCATCACACATGAGTTCGAATGGAAGAGACCAATCGAGTGTGACAATAATAGGTGTCGTGGTGAGCTTTTCTTTCAATTGCTCAAAGGCTTTGAGGCACTTCTCGTCAAATACAAATTTTGCATCTTTCTTAAGGAGTTTGCACATAGGATTTACAATTTTGTAGATGCCATTGATGAAACGACTATAGAAGCTAGCATGCCCCTAAAAACATCGGACACCTTTAACTGAAGTAGGTGGAGGAAGCATGGAAATGATCCCGTTTTGTGTCCGGTCAACATCTATGCCTTGTTTGGAAATCTTGTGGCCCAAAACAATGCCCTCGTCCACCATGAAGTGGAATTTCTCCCAATTTAGCACAAGGTTCGTTTCTTCACATCTCTTAAGCACTTGTCTAAGGTTGTCTAGACAATGCTCAAAAGAATCACCTACAACAGAGAAATCGTCCATGAATACCTCTAAGAAATCCTCTACCATGTCAGAGAATATTGACATCATGCACCCTTGTAAAGTAGCCGGGGTGTTGCATAGCCCAAATGGCATCCGGCTAAATGCAAACGTCCAATATGGACAAGTGAATGTTGTCTTTTCCTGATCTTCCAATGCAATATTGATTTGGTTGTAGCCGGAATATCCATCCAGGAAGCAGTAGAATGACCTTCCCGTTAGCCGATCAAGCATTTGATCAATAAAAGGCATAGGGAAATGATCCTTGCACGTAGCACTATTTAGCTTCCGGTAATCCATACAAACCCTCCATCTGGTGGCAGTTCTTGTTGGGATGAGCTCATTGTTATCATTTTCAATCACAGTCATGCCCCCCTTTTCGGCACACATGTCACCAGACTTACCCAAGAACTATCGGCAATGGGGTAGACTACCCCGGCATCCAACCACTTAATGATATCTTTCTTTACCACCTCCTACATGGAAGGGTTCAACCGTCGTTGATGCTCCACACTTTATTTATTCTCATTCTCCAATTGGATCTTGTGTTCGCAAGTTCCGGGGGGAATCCCTCAGATGTCCGCAATTGTCCACCTAATAGCTTGCCTATGCTCCTTCAAGACATTCAACAATTGTTCTACCTGTACATCATTCAACGAAGAAGACACGATTACTGGTAGAGTATCATTTGAGCCAAGAAATTTATACCTCAAGTGTGGTGGAAGTGGTTTGAGCTCCAGTTGCGGTGGCTCAATAATTGAAGGCTTTGTGGGAGTAGTGGCTCTATTCTCCAAGTCGAGAGAGTGCTTCTTCGGAACTTAAGTGTAGGCCCAAGCCCTTCCAATGCATTGACTGATTCCATATACCCCTCAATATCTTCACCATCGAAGTTTACAAAAATTGCCGCCAATGCCTCACCGAGGCATTGTTCTTCTATCTTCATTTCAGCCGCATCTTCCTGTCACTCCCCGAGCCTGAGGGCGATACCGACACTCAGTGCCTCACCTATCCGTCCATACCACTTGCGACTAAGAGATGCTGAACATGTAATGTCATACTTTGGCCATGGGCCACATTGCAAGATAATGTGCGATGCAAAATATAAAACTGAATAAAGACTAATGCTGACTAAATGTCAATATAAAGCTGGGTCAACAATACCATCATAATTACTATAACTGACAAGACAACAAAATATATGTATAGGGCCTACAAGCCCAACATATTGCACTAACTGACAAGATATATCTACAAGCTTCTACTGATAGATGTACTATGAGAAAAAGGTCCCGACCTACCCATAACCTATCTACATATATGCACAAGATGTACACTAAACTACTAGATGCGGAAACTCCAAAATACGGGGAGCTTACCGATAAGGCTGAAGTCGAGCAAACACCTATTGAGGAGGTCTACTCGTCTGTCTGTCCGAACCTACATGCATGAAATGCAGCGCCCCCAAAAAGGGACGTCAATACGAAATAATGTACTAAGTATGTAAGGCAATATACTGAAAGTTGAAACTGAACTGATAACTTGAACATATGCTTACCTACTGATACTGACACAATTCTCTCAATATAATAAGTAAAATGGTTGTCC